GTCAATACTTCCTCTCTCACGTGCTCCTTCGTCTTCAACCATGCTGCAGAGGCACTTCCCATGTATTTTTATTGTTTGTGGCAATACTATTGGAGTTAAAAGTGGTGAAGTCAAGAAGTGGTGAATATTATCATATCCAATAGAATTGGTTCACACAAAAATTGAGCCTACTGATTGGTCAAAACTCCAATGTCCGAGAATTCGATCATGTCCGAGAATTCGATCATTTACCTTAACGTTACAGACCTTAGGATGGTGGTAAGTTGGGACATACTGGATGGAGGAAATGTCCGGATAAGATTTATGGGGTAAAATACCTTGGAGGATAAAAATGCCTACTACTGTATTATGGTGCAAGTCATCTAACTGTAAAGACTACAGATCGGCCATCCTCAGGAGGAGACGTTTTACTATTAAACGCCTCGGTTCTTTCAGTTAAACCCACGAAATGTTGACGTTAAATCATTATTTGTTACGTGTTTTACCTGGAATTAGGTTAAACATTGTGAATAATCCGGATACAATGACAACGTTCGTACGGATAAGTGATGTTTACAAAGACCAAGATATATTAATACTTGATACACCTTTCCAGCCAAAATTTCCATATATCTCCGTACAAAAAGGCCGGTTGGTTTAAATTCTATTACTCGATCAATTTTTCACCAATCGAAAATCTGAACCGTAACTTCTGTTGGGCTTATCCAGTTCTATCGTTATTACGGTATATTTTCCTAAATAATATCAATACAAAGTTGGAATAGCTGTCGAAAGTCAAGGCATTTATTTGTAGTCTTTAGGTAACTTGCACCATAACGTTAATTTATTAATCGAATAATTCCCCTACAGCAGGTATACCTTACTTTCAAAACACCCAAACTACTAGTACTGGTATACTTTTAGTGGGGGAATTCCTTAGATAAGACTCCGCACGCATATATAAAAAATAAAACCTTGTCACCTGGGACCCAAAATTTGTATCAAATCGACAATAGTGTGGAATATTTACTGTTTATATGCCACATTTATACGTATCGACAATATTCCACACTATTGTCGATTTGATACAAATTTTTGGTGGGGCGCTATCGTATCTCCGGTTTGTGAACGAGTCTGATTGGCTCAATTCACGAAAGCTCAGTATGATTGGCTAAATACTTTTGCCAGCCCTATACTATCGAACTATCGAACGTCTATTTTGCGCGCCATTCTTCAACCAGCATTCGACGATCCATGACCACAGATGACAGTCCAGCCTGGAGCACGCGATCGTCGCAGACGTCCCAACCGACACACTAGCAAGGCGACCACGGATACTTTGCGCGAGTAGCACCCGGTTGCATCGTACTACGTAGTACTTTTTTTGGTGATCCAATTCGAAATGGTTTGCTCGCACTTAGAAGTTGACGTACATACAGTGCATGACTGTGTTCGGACTTGCATGCTGTGAGATTGCCGACTCGACGGTGCTCATCGACGTCTTGCCACTTGGTGTGCGACTGCTTTGTCGTGGAAATGTCTTTTCTGTCGTTTGACCCAATCAAATCGTGGCAATTTTGAAAGCGCCAATCGAATCGATTTACGAACGACAGTGGTTTTTTAGGAATTCACGCCAAAATCCAAAATTTCGCTCAAAAGCACAGTAATAATAAAAAGCAGGTTTTTTTCAAATTTCAAATTCAAACTTGGACATGAAATGGGCTTCTCTTCGAACTTCGGTTCTTTTCTATCCCACCGATATTCGAAGTTCGACCATTTCCAAACAAAAACGCCCCTGACATATGAACATCGCCGTCGGGGCGGTCTCGTCGTCGCTTATCGGGTTCCCGCCGCCGCCACCCGCTGCGAAGCGACCTCTCGAGGACGCCGAGTCATCGAAGCAACCTGCTGCTAAGAAGCGCCGCAGTCTGTCCAAGGCAGGACTCACGGAGGAGCACCAACTGGAACTGTTTTTGGGGAAGATCAAGCGCCAAATTCACGAAAAGTTTGGCGTCGAGCATGTGCAGATGAGCCACGAAAGCCGCAACGTGACCATCTCATGCTGGCAATGTGGGAAGCAGATCAAAATCGCGACGGGCCATGTGCACTTGCGAAGCATGAACTCGCACTTGGAGCGATGCAAAGGCAGTGCCGCGATGATGCCCAAGCCAGGCGAGGTAGACGACCAGACGAAGAAGGGGGCGCGGCGGTCGAGCAAGAAGGCATTGTCCGAAGAAAACCTGGGCATCATGTTCTTGGAGAACGCCCGTCGACAGCTCAAGGAGAAGTTCAACGTCGACAACGTCACGATGGTGCACAAAGGCCGCAACGTGTGCATCTCGTGCTGGCAGTGCGGGAAGGCTGTGAAGATCGCGGGCGGGCGGCTCAACCTGTCCAACTTGAAGGCCCATCTCGACCGGTGCAAGCCGTCCAAGAAGCCGAAGCGCGTGCTCCCCGCGCAGCCGGCGGCCGTCAACACGTTTTTGTGCGCGGGGCTAGCGTCCGAGGAGATCCGCAACTACTGCTCGAACGCGATGCGCATGTTTGGCGGATGCCAGCGCCGCGAGGAGATCTTGAAGTCACTGTTCAACATCCGATCGTTTAAGAACCTTACGGAAGAGCAGCTCGAGGTGTTCCAGCGGCACGAGTTCGCCACGCGCAAGTGGAACATCGTCGGTACCACCGTGTTCAGCGTCGACTGCACCAAAGTGTCGGCCATCGGCAAAACCTGCCACGAGTGCCTGTCGCTGTACCGCAACAAGAACTTTGTCAACACGCTGTGCAAGTACCGCTCCCGCGCCCAAAAGCTAGCGGACGGCGTGATCAACGAAAACTACGTCAAGTACATCCCGCGCATGTATGTGCAGCACCCTGGCGCCAAGCTCGCCCAGTCGTTTGAGAACCAGCGGTTCAAAACAGTGATTTAATGTCGTGCATCTCTCGTGAAAAGGATTTCTATTCTATAAACTAGGTAAACATACATATACAACATGCGAACCACCGAGATAAGTCGAGTAGTTAGTAGCTTGATCTGGCAGTGGTGAAATGTGCGGAAGGGGCAAGGATTATTAATAGTTTGGTGCGGAAGTAAAAAATGCATATATTATTGTGAATTCGCTATTGTGCTTTCGAGCTAAATTTGGTATTTTCTGTAGTTAGATTCGACGAACGACGTCAAATCCACCTGAAAGCATCGAGCGTCATTTTGCGTGAACTAAATATATATTCATTGTGATGACTCCTGTCCAATACAACGTTGAACTGTTTGTGAAATGGAGAAGCTTGGCAATGCACCGGATATGCCTGCAATTTGATTGGTCGAAAGGCTTTATTCGAAAATACACTATAACGTTACTATTAATACGTAGTAAATAGTAACGTTACTGTACATGCCATGTCGCACCGTGCAACAAGTGGTTCATGGCTAACGGTAATTCATTATTGGAGATGCTATTAACCCCCTAGTGTGCACAAAACAACATACTTTAACCAAGTCTATTCTTAAGTATACTTGACTCTGCCGACGTGCGATTCGCACGTCGGCAGACAAAAATAATAAAAAGAAAATGCCACTTTTCATTATATTTACTTCAACTTCAGCCCAGACGTGCGAATCGCACGTCGGGATCAGCCAATCACAGAAATTCAGAGTAAAAAGGTCTTCCATTTTATTTTTGGTCCGGCTTTAAATAAACACTTGGTTTCTATCCAATAGAATGCATTTTAATTGCCATGAATCGTCTTAATTATCATCGACACCGTATTGGTTCAAATTCAAACTTTCAAAAAACCGTTGGGATCTGCTCATTCGCAAATTTGCTCAGTGAGACGCACATCTCTGCCGCCGACTGCCGCCGACTGCTGCCGATGTGATGGACAAGTGTGCAGTGTGCAAGGAAGACTACGGCGACGTTCAAGGCCGCCGGTGCCATGTGTGT